GAGGACGAGCGAAACTCGGTGGAAGATTTCCTGTTCCGGCTCGAGTTCCTGCAGCGGCAGTACCAGTGCCCTTGGCAGGAAGTGCTCCGCCATTTCCATGTGCTGCTAACCGGACGGGCACGCGAGTGGTATTGGGTCCACGTGCGTCAATGTAGGGTGGAGATATGGCCACAGCTGCGTGCCGCGCTGGTGGACAGGTTCCGAGGCCACCAGACGGAGCACGACCGGATGCATCAGCTTCTGCAGAGGGAGCAGCAGCCGGGAGAAGCCGTGGAGGACTATGTCCATGCGATGCAGCAGCTAGCTTCTCGCCTAAAAAAACCACTGTCAGAGCGACAGATGGTAAAAATAATTAAAAAGGGCTTGAGAGAGGGTATTGCAAGATTTGTTTACGCAATGGATGTGATGACTGTGGACGAGTTGAGGGAAGAGTGCTGCGAGGTGGAGCGCAATTTTGGACGACGAGGACGCGCGGCCTATGCGCACCCGATGCGTTATCCTCCGGCGGAGAAGGCCAGGGTTAGCGAGGCAGCTGGTCCCGACATTGCAGAGGATTCCCAGTGACAGGTGGAGGCGTTGCAAGCGAAGACCCGAAATCCGTTCCGAGCGGGCTGCTGGAATTGCGGAGCCGTAGACCGTGACTGCGCGGCAACAGAACGGCGCCTGTTCTGCTACCGATGCGGAAGGCCAGACACTGTGTCTCCGAGATGTCCGGATTGCGCGGAAAACGGTCTGCTGGGCGATCCGAGGGCGGGAAGGATGCGTCCAGACAAGAGTCCCGCGAAGCAGTAGATGTTCTAGAAAGTAAAAAAGGTTTAGTATGTACGAGTAGTAATAAGCACAGTTTAAAATACTTACCTTATGAGGAAAGGATGCGTCGGTACCTGGAGACCAGGAACCGAATTTTCTCCGAGCACCAGTTAGCCGGCATGCGAACGGTGTCTAGGAAAGTCCAGAAGGCCAGGGATCGATTCCGTAAGAGACGAGCGAAGAGGCGAGAAGTGGTGGCCGCTGTGAAGCGCAGTGGAACGGGAGACCCTCGACCATTCGCTGAAGTCCGGATCCTGACCCAACAGCTGACTGGCTTATTGGACACGGGAGCTAGTGTCAGCCTGCTGGGCAAAGGTGGAAGAGAGCTCGTCGAGGCGTTGGATGTACCAATCCAGAAGTACCTGTCTGTGGTCCGAACGGCGTCTGGAGAGGATCGCACGATTATAGGACGCGTCGAGCTACCTGTGGAGTACCGAGGACAGATAAAGCGGATCCTGTTCTATGTATGTCCATACCTGGAGCAGGAAGCCTATTTCGGAGTGGACTTCTGGCAGGCGTTTGGCTTGGCTCCAGCGGTGATAGGCCCCAGCGACCCGGAAAGCGTCAAGGCAGACGAAATCCACGCTAGGGATATGGAGCACTACGCCGAACAGGAAGATGACGACGAGGAGAAACCGGATCCCGAATCCTGGACGTTATCTGAGGCCGACGCACGACAGCTCGCGGAGATCCAGGAGGTGTTTCTCACATTTGAGAAGGATGGTCTGGGAACGACCAATCTGGAAAGGCACACGATCGAGCTGATTGAGGGAGCCAAGGTCTTCAAGGATCGGCCGTATCCCATGTCTCCAGCCAAGCAGAAGGTAGTCGAGGATGAGGTGGACAAGATGCTGGCGCTCGGAGTCATCGAGGAGAGCATGAGCCCGTGGAGCAACCGGACGACGGTAGTGTCGAGACCTGGGAAAGATCGGTTCTGCTTAGACGCCCGCAAATTGAACGATCTGACCGTCAAAGACGCTTACCCGCTACCGAGTATCGACGGAATCCTGTCCAGAATCGACCAAACGTTTTACATTTCCAGCGTGGATTTGAAGTTCGCATTCTGGCAGATCGAGTTGGACCCGAAGAGCAAGGAACTGACGGCATTTACGGTTCCTTGGTTGGTGAGACTTATGGACCGAGTGATCCCAGCTGAGATCCGCTCCAACGTTTTTGTCTACCTCGATGATCTGCTGATACTGGCTCCAGATATCCAGACCCACTTCAGGTACCTTCGGAGAGTCGCGGAATGCCTGAAAGCAGCGGGGTTAACGATAGGTATGAGTAAGTCAAAGTTTTGCTTCAAATCATTGACCTACCTGGGCTTTATCGTTGGTGGAGGTCGTCTACGAATGGATCCGGGACGAGTAGATCAGGAGGATGCCAGAGCCTAGGACGATGAAGGAGGTGAGAGCGTTCCTTGGGACTGCTGGATGGTACCGCCGGTTCATAAAGAACTTTGCGACGTTGGCCGCCCCACTCACTGAATCGCTGAAGAAAACTGGAAATTCTAAGTTTTCCTTGAGTCCAGAGGCTCAGCTTGCGGTAGAAGCTTTGAAGATGGCTTTAACGACTGCACCAGTCCTGGTGCATGCGGACTTCAAGAGACGGTTCTTTATCCAGTGCGATGCGTCACACGTCGGAGTCGGGGCGGTGCTTTTCCAGCGAGACGACGACGGACAAGAGCAGCCAATTGCATTTTTCTCGGCCAAGATGAATAAACATCAGGTAAATTACACCGTGACCGAGAAAGAGTGTCTCGCGGCGCTCATGGCCATCCGGAAGTTCCGGCCATATGTCGAAGGGATGCCATTCACCTGCATCACGGATCATGCCAGCTTGAAGTGGCTCATGTCCATGAAGGATCTGACGGGACGTTTGGCGAGGTGGTCGCTGCAGCTTCAAGGGTTCCACTTCAACATAGAGCACCGAAAAGGAAGCGAGAACGTCGTGGCAGACACCCTTTCACGGTGTGTGGAGGAGCTCGTAGTGAATCCGACGGATTTGTTGGGTTTCGAAACCACCGAGTTCGCTGGAGAAGGTTATCTCGAGTTAGTGAAAGATGTGAAAGACAACTTGGAAAACTTACCGGACCTGAAGATCGAGGATGGTCTCATCTTCAAGAGAGTCTCCTCGGCAAATCTGGACGATGAGGTGGAAGGTTCCGAATGGAAACTGTGGATCCCACAGAGTCTGACCCACAGCCTAATCGAGCGTGCGCATACGGACCCAACAGCAGCTCATGGCGGAATGGGAAAGACTCTGGAAATCCTCCGACGGCAGTTCTACTGGCCAGGCATGGTTCTCCAAGTCCGCGAGTTTGTGCGTGGATGTGATGTCTGCAAGGAGTCCAAGGCGCCAAATTTCCGGATGCAGGTCGGTATTGGAGAAAGAGTCCAGACGGAACAGGCATTCCAGAAGCTGTATATCGACTTCTTGGGAAAATATCCGAGGTCAAAGAAGGGTCATGCCTGGATTTTTATCGTGGTAGACCATTTCTCCAAATTTGTATTCCTGAAGGCCATGAGGGAAGCTACATCCTCGAACGTCGTCGATTTTCTCATTCACGAGGTATTTTACAAATTTGGCGTCCCGGAGGTAATACATTCAGACAATGGACGGCAGTTCACGTCGAAGATCTTCCAGGAGGCGATGGAGAGTTTCGGTATCTCACACCTAAAGACTCCGGTATACTCCCCACAGAGCAACGCAGCAGAACGAGTAAATCGAAGCGTGTTGGCCGCAATCCGGAGCTTTTTAGATGGTGACCATCGAGACTGGGACGTCTACCTTCCTGAGATTGAGGTAGCCCTTCGAAACGCGATCCACTCGGCGACAGAAGAAGCGCCTTTCTTTACAGTGTTCGGACATCATATGTTCCTGAACGGCGCCAACTATAGGTTAGCGAGGAAGCTAAAGTCCTTGTGTGACCACGAGATGGCGGGCATGAAGACAGCGGACAAACTCCGAGTGATCCAGGAAAAGGTCCGAAAGAATCTGGAGACAGCCTATGACCGAAGCCGTAAGCAATATGACCAACGGGCTCGGAACTTCATGGCCAAGCCAGGTCAGGAGGTATACCGCCGTAACTTCGTCCTCAGTGACTTTGGAAAGTCATTTAACGCCAAGTTCGCCAGGAAATTCCTTAAGGCTCGAGTGGTGAAAGCCGTTGGTAACAATGCCTACGAGTTGGAAGACCTGCAAGGACGCCACCTCGGAGTTTACCACGCCAAGGATATCCGGAGGTAATCTGAAAAAAAGGGTAATACAAAGTAAAGGAGTGCAAGAAAAACAAAGGCAGTACTTCCCGGCATGCGTGGGCCCCGCGTTGAGCACCGTATGGAACTGCAAGCTGCGTAAATGTCCAGGTTCCACTAGGAAAGGATCCAAATGCTCCCAATGATTTCGTCGAGCGGCTTGAAATCCGATGGCGTCTCTCTAAATCCTTGGGTGGTGTTGCATTTCAAGTTGGAACCGGCCGGGAGTAGATCGAAATCGAGGGCAAAAGCCTATCGATAAAAGTTGGTGGGTGGCAACGCCTACTGAAGTGGCGCCCCCTTCTGCTCATGCCCTTGGCTATCTAGCTATTTAAACTAGCCCGGTTCGCTCTGGGTATGGCTAGGATGGCCTTGGATTCGTCCAATGACCCACTTTTGGGAGAGGAAAAGGGAACATGGCGTGATCAGCATGACATTGCGTAGGTCAGGGATAGGGTTTAGTTGCTGCCAGACATCGAAGCCATGTCGACGGGATTTTTATATTTCTTAGCTTAGAATAGGCCAAGAAAAAGTGAGTGCGATTAGTGCGAGTAAAGTTAGGAAATTAAGTGGAAATTTATTTATTTTAGGTCCACCGGGGACCCTAGTACATAGGGCCCCGGCAGTTTCTGTGATTTTCTTCTTTTTCACAATTTTCTCGGAGGGAGGGCAGCAGCCCTCGTGGTAGTGCAGCAGCAGCAACAGCCACCGGCAGCAACAACAGCCACCGGCAGCAGCAACAGCCACCGGCAGCAGCAACAACCACCGGCAGCAGCAACAGCCACCGGCAGCAGCAACAGCCACCGGCAGCAGCAACAGCCCCCGGCAGTAGCGACAGCCGCAGGCAGCAGCAACAGCCACAGGCGGCAGCCACAGCCACAGCCATCAACACCAACCAACACCGCCGCAGGCAGTTGAGCTTGTTTACATTACCTCGGTGAGTCCGTTCCGGGCACGTAGAACCCGAGCCGCACTACGCCTCGAACACGACGCGACTCCCAAACAACGCAGCATCTCCGACGTCACGGTCTGCAGTGGCCGGGGCAGGGCGTAATACCGGTTTCCGGACCGCCACGTCCCTTTATAAGGGTCCCAAGTCGTCCATCGGCGACCCGCAGCCGGCTTTCTCGCCGCGCCTGTGGTTAGATTTTAAGATTAATTTTTGTATTCGTAAATTTGCGTACTCGCCTCGTCCGTTTCTGCACGTCTTCGTGATTCCGCGAGCTTGAGTCTGGCCTTGCGCTAAGTCGGGGTCTGAAATTGCGAAAGCGGGCTTAGCAGAACTCGATACAATTTATTAATTTATATTTACCTGTCCCTTTTGTGTCCTCTTGGAGCTCCAGCAGGGTAATTAGGAGAGAAAAGAGGTGTTTGATGAATGACAGCCACTTGGCTTAAAAGTTTTCTGCGGGGCCAAATTTCCGTTTTAAGAAGCCCTTGCAGCTGGTGCAGTCCAGGCCGGGTAGTGGTTTTGCCCTGACCTGTAGGAAATGGTATAAAGAGGAGAGGATATACTTAATGTTTATATTTGGCAATCTTATGTATATATTTATAAATAAATTTACTTAGAACGGAGATGAAGATGATGTGGGCCTAAGGCAATTTCCAGCGGGGAGATGAACCGGTCGTAGTCTGGCCTGGCAGAGGCTCCGGCCTTGGAACATGGGTGGTGCCTCCCTCGCGACGCTAGGGGCACCACAGGAAGGGTGGGTGCGCTGTGGCAGCCACATCCAATGCCACTTTTCCGTCATATTTGTCCCGGTTTGTGTATTTTGTTTTGTTTACCTTTTTTTGTTATTAGCGATGTTAGTATTTGTAGTGTGAGACGTCGATAGTAATCGATATTTAATGTTGTGGGGCTGTAGGGACATTGGGGGAACTCCGCCCTGAGGATTCCGGAGCTAGCCGGGGCCGTCCCAGGGAGAACAATATGCAGTTCCATAACATATTGCACCAAATGAAAATACCATACAAATAAACAAAAATACTACACAAACTAATATACCCACTCACATATACCCTTATATATCCGCCTGAGGACAGGCTCTTTTCTAATGGATGGGGAAGTAGCATACCCACACCCACATATCTACCACATAAAGTAACATACCCACACCCACATATCTACCGCATAAACATATTTACATTACGCATTTGTGACACCCAAAATCATCGTCGCCAATTAATATAAACATCCTCTTGAGTTATAAACAATTGAAAGAACCCCAAATTGTCGGCTCCCACGACTGACCAATTAATGTAAACATCCTCTTGCATTATAAACAAATGTCCCCAAACTCCAAAAAGCTTTTATCCCCCAATACTGTAAAATTGCAGACGCAGTTCAAACCTAGATCGCTCTCTTGCTCAGTGCTTTCATTTTGGACACTCTCAATTTATCAATAAAGTTCTTTCTCTCAATCGAAGGTTTGATAAGCGCCAGCTTAGTTTGTAAGTTTGAGTTTTAAGTTGAATCTTGTAAGGAGCAGACCCATCTCTCCCAGTTCGTGTTTACACTATTTTGATCATTAAAGAAATTTATATTATTTTCTAAGTGTTAAAGCCTAGTACTCAGATCGACAAAAACTGTCCGCCAATCATGAGAGAGAGCGAGATTCAAACAGCTGGCGTTCACTTTTCGTCAACTTTTTTTTTCACCTCGGTCCTCAGATCGACGAAAAAATACCAGAAAACAGCATAGCGGAAATGAACTTTGGGTGAGCCCTGGCGAAAAGATTAAAAAATTAAATCTTTTGGCGTGCTTTGATTGCAGGAGTTTACATGTGTGGACAAAATAACATTAATACTATCTGGGGTGCCTCTTGTCAGAGCAGCTATGAACTTTAAATTAGCAAATAATTATCAGTAAGTTAAAAAACACAACTGTTAAATTTAAATTGTATTGTTTTTAATTTCTTTGGACATCGACAGACTTGTCTTGCCAAGGTATTTGATAATATCTTTTAAAGGCTCTTTCCCGCAAATACGATATTTGTATTTTAACTGCTTGTCAACAAACCCAGCTGATTGACAGTACGACCGTAGCACGCTTAATGATGAACTCTCGAAATGTTGGTCACACTGAAAAGATTAAAGTTTTTACGCTAGCATACTCGTCTGTCGATCTGAGTACTAGGCTTTAATACCGAATTTGTTATTATATATATATTTAATGTTCGGGTAATAAATAAATAATGTGATGTTTACACTCGGATTGGTTGAACAAAAAAAAAGAAATATGGAAATGCCAATTAAATTTGGTTTTGTATTTGTCGCAATTGTTTGTAGTATTTAATTATTTAGTCGGAAAAAATTTGATCGGAATTGCGGAAAATGCGTTCTGTCGTGCACAAAGCCCCTTTTTTTTGCTATGTGTATGTATGCTGGAATATATAAATTAATTAATTTGATTATCCCACGGGTGGTCCCTCGCAGTTGCAGATTATCCAGGGGGTGCGGGTAGCAAGGTCCGCCGCTGTGGTAGTTGGCCGACTGGTCAAAGAATTCTCCAAGATGGATTATGAAGATTACGTTGGCGTTATGAAGATTACGTTACCTGCTGGCCAAGGGACAGTTTTTCAGAAATAAGAATTTAACGACTCTGACAACAGTAGAATTCGTATGAGCCGCAGCTCTTTCTTCATATAAAGTCAAATCTAAACTGAAACTTCAAGCTAACAAAAAAGAGACTCATTCGGTCACTCCAATTAGTAGTGTTTGCCGGCTATGCACGAGCTTCCGGCCAGAAGCTGTGTCAGCAATTTGGCCGGAGCGAGCCTTCGGACGATCGGTCATTGCCGTCGCCAGTCAGAATTAAGGCCGCCCTCGGCCGACCCTATTTGGGCAATCACCTCCCTTAGTTGAGCCGTGGATCACCTGGCCTGGGTGACTCGCCGATAAGTGAGGCCGACCCAGATCAACGCGCAGCAGATCGCTCCTGCGATTAGCACTATCTAGTGTGAACGATAGCCGTTGATATCTTCCCCGAATTTCTTAATATGTTCCAGGTTACGTTCACTCAAGCGGTGAAGGTATGGAAGCCTGAGTATGTTGTGTTCCAGGGTGATGTTCAGGGAAGGCGAGCTAGCCACTCCTGGTACCCTTTTCCGGGCCACGTCGTGATTGGCGTAACGGGTTTCGTTGACCGTGGCACTCTCAATGAAGGTGATGAGGTGAGTTCCTCGTAAGTGGACGTAAGTGCCGTAAGTCGTAAGTCCACGTGGGTGATAGGGTGCAAATCGCTATGTTGGATATCGCAGTGTGCAATACCCCCAGCGTGGAGTTCTTGGGCGCATTTTCTTCTCAGCGCCAGTTGACAAAATGTGGCTCCAGGTGACACGGAGCAGATTTTGACTGTGTGAATCCCTCAGTTGCAATCCGCTATGACCTTGTCCTTCAGCCTGAGTACTGTGTCATGGTGTGACACGGGAAAAACTATGGTCTTGACACATGCTGACTTAATTTTTGGAAATTTAATAATGAAATGTAAAATGTTAACGGATTGTAATATTTTGACAGACGCAACGGACAGTATATCTCTAATGGGGGTGTCTGTGAGCTCCTCGATCCACACACTTTCCAGGTCTGCATGATCTAATATGCTGGGGCTAACTATATTGATTTTGGCAAGAGCTATTGATAGCAATAAATTTTGCAGCTCCATCGCAATCATCCTATTCCGATATAATAACATCTCGTATAGGTGTCCCGTGTCAACTTGGGATTCTGTAGCCGACCTCAGAATGTGGTTGACAGTGGTGCAAATACTATTGATTTGTTCCTATACTTTGTTGTTAATATTTAACTGTCTATTGTTTGCATTGATTTGATTTGTGTTTTGTATCAAATCCTGAAGGTGTGTTTCTGTCCATTATGCAATAATATGTCCGATGCAGTTAATGTTTTTTACACTGCAATAAACTCATTCTTTAATTCCTGTGTTCCGTGGCACTATCCGTCAATTTCCAATAAATCACCTTGGTTTAGGAAAGAGTTGACACACTTAAGAAATGTAAAGTCCAGACTTTTTAGGAAATATAAAAATACCGGTTCTCAATCTGTTTCTACTAGATATTTAAGGGCTCGGTCAAGATTTACCGTGCTTAATGCTCAGTGTTATAATAGTTACTTAAACCGTTGTAAGGTCCAGTTCTCCCAGGACCCGAAACAGTTTTATAATTTTGTTAACACCACATCTAACACACATCTAATTATTTTCCTTCCTCGCTGTCGCAGGCAATAGCCGTTTTATTTGCCCAATTTTTTCAAAACGACTTACTCTACTTTAGATTATTCATCACAGCCTTATTCTTACACCATGTCCAAGTCAAACCTCATATTCTGTCCCACTTTAACAGAAAGCTCTCTTCTTTTGGATCTTCTTCGTATTAAGCCTGATTATTCGCCAGGGCCCGACGGTATTCCTGGGTGCGTGCTTAGGTATTGCGCTAAGGCCCTGTGCAAACCTCTTCACAAGTTGTTTACCTTATCTCTAGAAATTTTCCAATTCCCAAAAATTTGGAAGGAATCATTTGTTATTCCTCTTTTCAAAAAAGGTAACAAGTTAGAAGCCAGTAACTACAGAGGTATTTCTAAGTTGTCAGCTATTCCTAAGCTTTTTTAAAAAATAATTACTCCTCATTTGCAGCACCTTTATAGATCAATCATTTCTCCGTGTCAACACGGATTTATTAAACGTAGATCCACAATCACAAACCTTCTAGAGCTCACTACATTTGTGATAAAAGACTTCAATAGTAGTTTTCAAACAGACACTGACTTTAGTAAATCATTTGACTCTGTAAATCACTTACTTCTTATTCAAAAACTTGACCTGTTAGGTTTTCCAGTTGATCTGCTTAAATGGATTTCAAGTTATCCGAATGGCAGGTCACAAAGGGTGCTTTTTAAAAATTTAATTTCTGAAATTCTCCGTGTTACCTCCGGTGTCCCACAAGGGAGCCATCTGGGTCCGTTACTTTTTACATTATTTATTAACGATCTTCCCTCAATTATAAGTCATTCTCGCGTACTTATGTACGCAGATGATGTTAAGTTGTGGCCGCAGTATAGGGACATTTCCTGCCATTTAGACTTACAATCCGAGCTAGATAATTTTCACAACTGGTTCCGAAATAATTTACAAAATTTAAACGCATTCAAGTGTCAGCTGATGACTTTTTATCGGGTCAATCCGATATACGCGACTTACACATTAAGTGGCAGCTCTTTGGATAGAATAACTCTTGTAAACGATCTTGGCGTTCTCTTGGACTCTAAACTAAAATTTTCAAACCACATTTCGTCCATGGTTAATATAGACAGAGGAGTGCTTGGATTTATTAAAAGGTGGTCAAAAGAATTCGATGATCCTTATTTGACTAAAACTTTATTTATTTCGTTAGTCCGTCCGATTCTGGAGTATGGGTCTCCCGACTGGAGTCCGCAATACGGAATACATATTGGTCGTATTGAATCAGTTCAAAAAAACTTTCTTCTTTTTGCTTTACGGCGCCCCAGTTTAATGCAAATATTAACTTACCTTCTTATTCTAGTAGACTTCTGTTGATTCATTTACCCTCCCTAGCCAACCGTAGAACGATGCTTGGTGCTGTCTTCATTTATAAGCTTATACATGGTGATATTGACTCCCCCGACTTGGTAGGTCGGCTAAACTTTTCTGTGCCAAGTAGATTAACTAGAAATTATATTCCCCTAATATTAAATCATTGTAGATCTAACTATGCCTTGCATGAGCCTTTCAGAGTATTGTGTTCTGACTATAATTGATTTTTTCCTATAATCTAAAATCTTAACTCTCTGCCGCTCTTAAAACGATTAATACTAGCTTCATTGGCACAAAATTGATCTTACTATTCAACGTCCTCCGCGTTTGGCGTTCCCGCCACTACTTTTAACG